TCCATTGAAATCTTAGGATTCACGTTGAAACGCTAAGAAAAATCGACTCTGGCCGAAAACTTGAGTTTTCTTAAGCATCGCCCAAGGTGTACCCCACCACCCCATGATTTCTACGGAGGGAGGTGGGGTTCCCGAGCGAAGTGAGCCCCACCTCCAGCCGCAGAAGTCGTGGGGTGTTCTGTGGCCTCCTGGGGGTCCCCAGAGGCTGCCAGGGGGCCCAGAGCGGTGCGGTGACCGACCGTGTGGAGGCCTCGGAATCCTCTAGGAGACCCATGGTCCGTTACCGCACGCTTGCGAGACCCTGGAGTACGAGGCCTCCTAGATGAGGTCGGATGGGGTCGGAGGATCGCGCCGCATCGCCGATGCACCGACGATGCCTCGGCGACGCATCGGCGATGCACCGGCGACGTCGGGGATGTGTCGGCAACGTGGGCATGGAGAACATCAGGCTCCGCATCGAGCCGCATCGCCGATGCAGCGGCGATGCGGCGCGATCCTCCGACTCCATCTGCTCCGACCCCAGAAGGCCTAGGCCCAAGAGACCCACGGCCCACGGCCCGTCACCGCACGCTTTTGGTGAATGGGGCCCTGGGGCACACAAGTAAACGGACACAAATCCCAGGATTCCCTATGGTTTTCCATCTTCTCTGGGTTGTCGCCTCCCCTCCTCACTGCCCATACTCTCCCATATTCTCCTGGGGGTCGACGATTCATTGTGTCTGTGTGCTTTTCCCCCTCCCGATTGGGGACCCTGGAGGCCCCCGTCGCCCCAAGCATCCTCGGAGAACGACCCACGTCCCACCGTCCCAAAAAGCGTGCGACCACACCCGAGCCCCCCACCGACTCATCATCCACTGTGTGGCCACCGCACCATGTTTGGGGTCCCGAGGGGCTGCAAAGCGAGGTTTCACATCTTGCGCGCCTACACCGTTAGGTCCCCGTAAGCCCGAACACGCTAGACTCAGGTCGGCCATGTCCTCCTACAGGCGGATTTTGGACAACCAATGAAAATAGCTAAAGATGCTCAAACATAGTCAAACGATCATAGACACATATGTCCATTATAATGTTTGGCTAGTGCTGGATATTCCTCCTGTAGAGGGAGGCGCAGAGAGCAAGACGGACATCGATAAGCAACGAGATCAAGAAGTTGATCCGGCGAAAGCTGAAGAACCAGAAGGCGCTGCGCATAGAAAGCGTTCTGCGTGATTTCAAGGGGCTAAAGGAAATCGCAGATCCGAATGGCAACAAGAAGCGACAATGCAATGACAGAGTTGTTGACCAGCATGGCAACCCAAAGGAGAGCATTGATGATGTGGCAGAGGTGTGATTGCGTCGTTTTACCCGGAACTGTACACGAACAGCGGGGATAGAGTCGCGGCGGAACCATCCGGCGAGCAAATTCAGTCTTCCACGTTGGAAGAGCTCACGAATGCCTGAGATACGATCAAAGCCAGAAAATGCAGAGACACAGCGGGCATTGTGGCAGAGATGTTGAAGCATAGCAGCCCGAACATGCGCGCATGCCTTTTTGACTCTTTCCAATGAAATCATGAAGCCAGACCGAGAGCCGCCGTCCTCGTGGAGACATACACGGTTGGTTGTTCTGCCCAAGAAAAACGACCCAGAGCTCCCCAACAACTATCGTCCTATAGCTAGCCTATCTATGATGTGCAAACTTTTCAATCGCATAAACTGCAACCGTTTGCAGGCGAAACTTCTCGCGAACCAGCCGCCGGACCAAGCAGCTTACCGACGAAACTCCTCGACAGAGGATCACCTGCACGCGCTGACGTTCATGTTGGAGAAATGCAACACATGGCAGCAAGACCTGTGGATCGGGCTGGTTGACTTTGAGAAAGCCTTTGGCACTGTGGAACACGAAGTATGATGGGGTGTGCTTCGGGAGTTTGGCGTGAGAGAGCCATATATTTCACTCCTTCCGGAATTGTTCTGAGGCCAGACGGCTTCAGTCATGGCGGGGGGGGAATCTCGATCTTTCTGTTTGGTCAGAGGAGGCAACCACGGTGACCCAGCAATTGCTCTTCTTTGCATCGCCATCATGGAATCGTGCTTCAAGTCTTTGAAGGTCAAGTAAAACCACTTTAACACCAGGCGCATTATGCAATTGTCTTCGTTTCGTCGTTGGCAATCCGGATGATCCCCTCACCAACCTCAGGCTTGCCGATGACGCAGTACTTTTCGCACAGAGCAAGAGGGACGTTGGGAAGATGCCAGATCACTTGCGAATGCATGATGCCTGGTATGGACTACGGATGCATATGGGTTGCAAAAAACAGCTACGTGGGCGAGACTTCTGTTTTGGCCGGCGATTCGCAACTATAAATCATCCTGCCTGGGGGGGTCCGAGACATGTGTGGGACGGGAGGCGAACTTAGCAGACGACCGCGACGCTGAATTCACACGTCGAGTGTCATTCGCATGGACAACGCTCGCGAAGTTGAAGCATGTATTCTGCTCTAGAAGATACACTGTGACATCGAGGTTGAACTTCTTCGAATCGTCGTGACCTCGAGGGCGCTCTATGTGAGTTCGGGTTGGACCGTTTGGGCAAGCACGCGCCGGATATTACGATCAACGTGGAGAGAAACGGTGCGCAATATCTTCCAGATCCTAAGTCATGTCGAGGAGGTGTGGTCACACTACATCAAAATATCAACCATATTATTTGTGCGCAAGGCCAAATAATATGGCTTACGCGATTGGGCTGAGACCCAGCAGTCGCGGAAGGCAGAGTTGATTCTTCGCTTGGACGATGATGGGTGCAACGAGGGGAACAAGATGCTTGTTCCCTGGACGCCGTGGTTCCGAACCTGTCCCACCAGACGCCCGGGACGTCGGCAACGGCGATGGGCTGACATCTGAGTAGATGCTCCAGTTTGCCATGCTACGCAATATTCTCGTTCGGTCTGCCCAGGCGCTGTCTATCACGCGCCCTGAAGGGCCCAGCCCGCCGCGGCCTGTCTGCAGGCTGCTGTGTCTGTTTGTCTGTCCGAGTAGAAGAAGACATGCTCGCATTAACGCTAGTTTAAGGCATCCAACATCCATCGAAACCCAATTCTCTTGACGGCGGCACGACCAACAAAAAAACTGCACTACAACGATTCTGGAAGCAACCCAGACACAGGCCCTAAAATTGGAGGGTGGGAGTGGGGGTCGGGCGCAGGGTTCGCGGCAATGGTGTCGCCTCTGTGGGCCACGCGTGGGCGACACTCAGTTTTGGGAATACTGAAGGCCAGGGCAAAGTGTGAATTCACATTGGTGGGAAAAGCAACATGTGAATCGACATGTTGGGAAATAGGGCAAATGTGAATTGACATGTTGGGACAAGAAAATTGTGAATTCACATTTTGGAACTTTGTAAACAGAAAGTGTATGAAAGGGGCCAGAATGTGAATTCACATGTTTGGAGAAAGGGGGATTTGTAAATTCACACTTGGGAGAACAACATGAATTCACATGTTGGGAATCGCGGGACCCGTTCCAAATCTATCTCAGGGGTCCACAAGTCATCGTTTGGGAACATACGCGATCATCAATCGCACAATCAAGACACACTTGCACTCCACTTCGCCGCCCTACGCGCGATATGCAAGAACGCCAACACGCATGAACGATCATGGATGGACGGCGCGTTTGCCCGCGTGGGCAACGCGCGGGCACGAACGACTGGCCCTCCATGACCGCCAACATTTGAT